TCTCTACCACCAACTCGTACACGCGCGAAGAGCCCAACCTAAGCAAGAAGGACTACATCAACTCCCAGCAACAACACCAACAACAGCAAAACCTCGCTGCTCAACAAGGCCACGAGCAGCAGACGCACAAGCAGAACCAAGGGCAGCAGAACTACGGTTCCTCCACCTCCCAGCAAGACATCCCCAAGATGCTCGAAGACGTTCTAGCAGGCAACATCCGCTCGCAACAAGACCAATTCGCGGACCTCCACAATCGCATCCAGATCATCAACAACCGCGTTTATGAAATCGCAGAGACCGTTACACTCATCCACAAGGAGAACATGGAGCGCTGGGAGGAGCTCCACCGCCGCATCGTACCCATGGACGACCGCGCCGCGGCCACAATCCGCAACATGGAAAAGGTTGAGCGCACGACTATGCAGATACTGCGAGACATCGAGAACAAGGATTACAAGGACATGATGCAGCAAATTCATCACGCTTTGGACAGGAACCACGGACACGTCATGTCGAGTTTGCCTGGCATGATGGGTGATGGTAAGTGACAATTCCCGATCCGATGCGGTTTGAGAGGACAGTAAAGCTAACTCGGTATCACAGTTGTTGGCAGCCACGGACCCAGCCTGATGACCTTCTTCTTCATCGCAGTCGCTGTTCAGATTATGATCACAGGTGCTTACATTGTTTACAAGAAGAGGCGAGGTGGTGCGCCCAAGAAATACTTGTAGATCATTCCCCAGGGGCTTTGGTATCAGACCAAGGGACGTGCATACATAGGGGTTGGGAGATGTGTACTATACGTTGTACCCGAGAAACGAATCGTTCTTGGTATGTTGTTTGTTAGCTGGCATGGAATACTACAGGGTATTGCTCATTGCGAGAGGACCCGGTGCTCTGTATACGGCGTTTGGTTCATGACTTGTGAGGAAAACAAGCAGAAGTACGCACTTTGTACGCAGGTCCATATTCGGACTGTAAATATCTTCTATGCAATTCGTACCCAAATGAAAAACACCATCTATGCAATGACAGAAAGGAAAGACGTCAAACACCACATGCTCTATGCAGCGTGTCCCAACCATGTATATGCAGCCCACCCTTCATAACAACCAAAGCAAATCACCCGTCCTTCTCAACCTACACGCTCATCTTGCGCGGCTCAAGCAGCAACTTGCCCTGCGGCCCCGACTTCTCCTGAAACCCTTCTGTCCTCGAAAAGACACGTTGACCGCGTAGCCAAGTCTCCCTCACAACACCCTTGAGCGTCTTGTTTTCATACGGCGAGACCTTGTTGCGGAAGAGCATGGTGTTAGGCTCGACCTGCATTACCGTTAGCCCACAGCCCGTCCGTAAATAAAGGGAGGAAAGAAAAGATTGGAAATCACATACCAAGAACTCAGCCTCATCGTCAAAAACCACAATATCAGCATCGAAACCCACACTAATATCGCCCTTGCTCTTCTCAAGCCCAACCTGCTTCGCCGTATTCCTGCAGCACCAGCGTACTATTTCCTCGACGCTGAAGTCCGGGTTGCGCTTCTTGCCTTCGGTCCACAGGATAGGTAGACCGAGACCCACGCTTGAGATGCCGCCCCAAGCGCTGAAGAAATCGCCTTTTTCTTCTGGTCCTTGGATTTCGGTCTCGCTGCTCTCACCCGTTTTCTTAGGTGCTAGATGCGGGGGTAAGAGTTTGATCTCAGGCGTGCAAGGCGAGTGATCTGAGACGACTGTTTGGATCACGCCATCAGCCGTGTCTTGAAGCAGTTCCTCCCAGAGGCCGTCTTGGTTGGATTGGGAGCGGATAGGTGGGCAGCATTTATGTCTTGTGTCGCCTTCTTGGATACCTTCTGAGGCGAGGGCGAGGTAGTGGAAACAGGTTTCTGCTGTGATTTTGATGCCGTCGGCGCGCGCTTTACGTAGCATGGGGATGGCTTCGATGGCGGAGAGATGCACAATGTGGAGTTGCAGGTCGGGGGCGAGGTGGGCTAGGGAGAGGATTTCGGCTACGGCGCAGGTTTCGAAGGATGGCGGGCGGGATTGCAGGAATGTGTCGTACGAAGTTAATGGGCCTTTTGGGGCGAGTGGAGGAAGGGATTGTTGCACATCGTCGCCTACAGAGTCGGTGATGGGTGGGATCATTTCCGCGTGGAACATTAGTGTTGTTGTTGAGTCTTTGAGTTCGAGGAGTGCCTTTTCGATGTCGAGGGATGAGACGGCGGGGAATTCGTCAACCTGGAGAGTGGTTAGTGTCACGTGCTAGGGTGCTGAGATAGAAATACTCACTCCACTGTCACACAGGAAACCCTTGAAGCCCCGAACACCCTCCTTGACTAAAGCCTTGAGGTCTCCTGAGTTACCAGGAATGATGCCGCCATAGAAGCCGACATCCACCCAGCACTTTCCTTGTGATGCTTCGCATTTGATCTTGAGGTTTTCGACAGTAGTCGTAGGGGGGATAGCGTTCAAGGGCATGTCAATGACAGTTGTGACACCACCGAACGCCGCAGCTCGGGTGCCAGTCCAGAAACCTTCCCACTCCGTCCGACCAGGCTCGTTGAGGTGAACATGGGCATCGACAAGACCAGGTAGTAAGATGTGTGGCGAGTAGTCGGTGTATGGTGTGCCTTCAGGGAAGTCTGTAGGAGGAAGTACTGAGTGGAAGATGGAAGTGATCTTCCCTGTGAGGTTTGATACAACGATAGTAGCCTCAGTCAACCGACCAGCAACAACTGCTCTTGATGAGGCAAGAACTGTGATGGATTGAATGGGTTGCTCGTGGGAGACGGGTGGAGGCGTGGTTGCGTGGGGTGCCATGATGCCAAGTTGGAAAATGGAAATGTAATCGACTGTGAGAAGACACGGACAAGAAAAGAGTGCGCAAAGAAGTCTGAAGGTGCTCAGCTCCGTGCTAACAGCAAGAGCTATATACAGCAACAAGCCCCGAACTCGGCAAACGCGGGGAAGAAGGTGGGCGTCTCCGGGTGAGCTGCAGATAAGCGTTGATAAGGCACGTTTGGTGTTGCGCCTAACAGATGTCAAAGAGGAATGCAGTCTGTATCTTGCTGAAATTTGGCAAAGCAGTACTTTCAAACAGAGAAGACGCTTGAGAGAAGAGATGCGCTCAGTAAGTCGTTATCAAAAACGCCAAAACCTGGGGTACAGGTCCTTATCTACCCGTTGGTATGGGCCAGCCCAAAGATCCTCTCGGGGCATTGTAGCCAGAATCTGGGTCAGCTAACATGGCGTCAGGGGACTGTGGAGCATCGGCGAACCCTGGAATACACGTTGCTCGATTCTATCGAGTAACTAGGGTGGAGGTAGTCTATCGCGGCCGCCTTAGCCATGCATCTCGACCCTGTCTCCCGTTGGCCGATTTAGTGTAGATACGAGGCTATTCGCCCTGATACTGTGTGCTACTCCAAGATCGAACATGCGAGATTTTGGCTGTCTAGGTTGGGCGCGCATTATGAGCTGTTTCTCCGTCATCATTTCTCGAAGGTTGATTCCTCGAAGATTGGGAAGAGCGTTGGTATCGGTAAACTTCCTAAACGTGTTGCTGCACGTTGTGGATGGTGTTGGGGGACGTGCATGTGTTACTGATAAGCAGCTGCAAGGGTATTGCTGCACGCGATAGGCGCACAGTAGATCGCGCGATTAGAGCCCTCAGACTAGCGCAGGGTCAACGGCGGAGCGTCATACTTCTAGAATCTCAGACCCAGGGCCTCTGTGGTTTTTATTCACTGCTTTCTTTACAGTTCGCGTAAGGATTGAAGATAGAAACACACTCTTCTTGTGGACTGCTCGTTGGCATAGAAGGTGCGAGTTCGAAGACATCGGAGTAAGGCCCGATTCCATCGGAGAAGCTAAGCATATGTCAGCCAGCGTACCTCCCAACACGACCTTCCCATTACTCGATAGAAATCGAGTAAAGGAAATACGATGCGCCGAAGACTGAGGCGAGCCGCAGACTAGACCCATGCGAACGCCTTGACTGTTCGGGGCTGGCCGACAGCCATATTGTCAACCGAGAACCCGAACGCGCCCGGGTCATGCTGGTGCCATTCTTCTACCTACCTCGTCCCAGCAAGCGCGACTACACCTGGACATTTTACTGAGACCCCGAAATGCGAGGATATGTATAGATATGAAGAGACGGCTATGCTGTGGTTTCGGGGGTTTCCGATGTTCTATCGTGCTATGATCGTCGGTGGAAGTCGTCTATTGCAAGCGGCGAACTACGGCACTGAAGCCCTGTCCTCAGGGTAACTATCGAGTAACGGAAACTCGACGCCTCTCGGATTCTGGAATTTTCAGTAGCGCGCCAACACGACGGACGTCGCAAAGACGATAGCTACTCTCGACTTGCTCTGGCGGCCGGCAGGCTCTGCAGGCACGATGGGCCGAACTGCCTCTACATTGGCTGCATGCGCCTACGGGCAGCTCAGTGTAGCGGTAAAGACCTTGCAGCTGCGCTTCAACGCCGAAGACAAGTTTTGCTTACGTTTGCCCGGGTGATTTAAGGCGTGTTGCTCAGCATGGTACGCAATGGTCCTAGCCGGCATGTCAAACGGGCTGCTGCGTCCGACAGCGGCTCGGTGATCAGCGTCGACAGGCATGACTGCATGTCTGACGCGTACTTGTTCGTCTGTGAATGGTGTCTGTAATATTTATGCAATCACGCCAACCTAGGGAAAAACTGAACAGCCTGGAGCCTACGTTGACTTTGGGTCGCCTCCTTTGCAAGGTTTTGGGTCAATGTAGTCTGCAGACCTGTTCAGTTTTCCCTGGTATGAGGTGCAATGGCTGCCACATTCAGAACGACCAGGCAAGTGGGAAGATCAGCTCAAAGCGCTTCAACGAATATTGGTAAGCTGGGATTGTTTGTCATATGAGAGAGGGCCAGCAACACCTGTAGCTTCTTTGAGAGATTCGTTGGTTGAATATGCCTGACGACCCCGTCCCCAAACAGCGTAGCAGCTAACGATGTACACCCAACCTCACTTCTTCAGCGTCGACTGCTTCTTCTGCGGAAACGAGGATGACTTTGGAACTTTGTTAGCTGCCAACAGAGTTCGTGAGTTGTAAAGACTAGCTTGGAGTCCATATGCTGCAGCCGTCTCTCGTCTAAGATCCAGATAAGTGTAGGCGTCTGGTTTGTAGTAAATGGTCCTGCCGATGTTGATGAGACCCATGGTCTCAAGCTCATGGAGTACTCGCAGTACATCATCAGCGTCCAGGAAGTCCTTTGTGTAGACACAGACTATGAGAGGTTTTTCGTCAGTAGTTGTGCACTACCTGTCGTACGTCAAACTTACTTAGTCGCTCGTCCTTGCCGTCGTCTGTGGCCACCTTGCAGGTACGTCCAAGTCGATTATCGATCACATTCGCGACAACTTGCTTCCAGACCCGAGCAACTTCCACAGCTTTGGGGAACAACATCCACTAACACCAGTCAGTGATTTGAAGAAGTGAATGATCGGGCAGCTAATGGAACTTACCTTTCCGGACAGAACATGCGTGTCCTTTGCAAGGTCCGAGATCCGTTCTTGTAGAGCTTTGCTCTCTTGGAGGAGCTGTTTAGTAACCATGCCCCTAGGCCCCTTCGCGCCTTCATTCTGGATGTCGTGGCGGGTCTGGAGCGACTGTTGAAGTAACTCCGTGCCACGCGATGTAAAGTCGTGAACGCGCGGCGAAGGTGACTTGTCGCGAGGATTGCGATACGGATTAGCAGCCCAGATCCAGGGACATGTAGAGATGGAGGTTGTGTATGGAGGAAGTCGCCTGACAAAGTCATCAACAGGCTCGCCTAGCTGCCACGCATCATCCTGTCCTTCCAAAGGATTGAACAATTCAAGTTTCGAGGCTGACACAGGTGAGGGCTCTCGCTTTCGCTTGCCTTGTCTTGCTAATCGCTCCTGCTCCATAGCTTGGCGGTCGATACCCGACATGTCGAAGGTGTTAGTCTTTGCCGCAGGTTGCTTGTCTGACACGGCTCCATCTGATGGTGGTGCTGGTGTTCTTGCGGCAGCCGCGATTGTGTTTAGGTCTTTGGCATGTGCGCGCCAGAAAGGTCCGGTCTTGAAGCTTTCACACTTTTTTGATTGGTGTTGTTTTTCATCCTCGTCACCTGAATCCACCGTCAGTCACATATCATGGGATTAGCTTGAGTTGTTCAAACTTACCATAGAAACTGCTATCATCTGAGATCCACCCTTCTCCAGATACAGTATCCTCCTCCGCCATCTTCCGCACTGTGAGTACTGTCGCAGTTCATGCCCTGCCCAGGTGAAGTTTGAGCAATGTGGAGAATGTTTGCTCGACTTGACGCGATATGACGAGCGATGTTTACACGGATGGGGAAGGAACGAGGGACGGCGGACAGGGGTATCCCTGCACCCCAAACGCGCCCGCGACCACTATACGCGAACGCGTCGGCGGACTCTTTCACCCCCAGCATCCGCGTCCTCATAACATATACCTACAAATCCAATCGCATGACTTCCGAGATGCCGCACTCAGTTACGCCGGAATCGACGCCCGCAGAGGAGTCCTCAGCGACAGTGTCCCAGACGGATGCTATCAAACCCGAGCCGGAGACGCAAGATGTTGCAATGGAAGACGCACCCACAGCCGCCGCGGTAGAGAAGCCCAAGGTAAACCTCGAGGAGCTCTTCGACGATGAAGATTCAGACGAAGAGTTTCCTTCGAGCGCGCCAGCACCTACGTCGCAGGAGGATGCCTCGCAACCCGCACCAATGTACGCCCCACCTACCGACACAATGTATTCATAACACTTGCTGACACCGATACAGCAAGATCACATCGAAATCCTCCTTCTCTGACCCAGACGTCATGCGCGCATTCTACCAACGCCTGTTCCCCTTCCGTCCCCTCTTCCAATGGCTCAACCATTCCGCAACACCCAGCAATGACTTTGCACACCGCGAATTCGCCTTCACCCTACCCAACGACGCATACCTACGATACCAATCTTTCCCAACGGCCGATCTCCTGCGGAAGCAATGCATAAACATGCTGCCCTCACGTTTCGAAATCGGTCCCATGTACAGCACAAACCCGAGAGATAGGAAGACACTGCGGAAAGCGAGCTCGTTCCGCCCGTTGATGAAAGAGCTGGTCTTTGATATCGATATGACGGATTACGACGACATTAGAACATGTTGCACGGGTGCGAGCATCTGTCTCAAGTGCTGGGGCTTCATCACAATGGCCATCAAGACCATCGATGTTGCTCTACGGGAAGACTTTGGCTTCAAACATATCCTGTGGGTGTATTCCGGTCGTCGAGGAGCCCACGCCTGGGTCTGCGATAAGCGCGCGCGAGAGATGGACGACCAAAAGCGCCGCTCCGTAGCCGGCTATCTCGAACTACTCAAAGGAGGAGACCAGGGCGGCAAGAAGGTCAACGCGCGACGACCTCTACATCCTCATCTCGAGCGCAGTCTGGCTATCCTGAAAGAGCACTTCCAGACCTCCATTCTCGCTGAACAAGATCCCTGGGCTGCGGAAGAAAAGTCCGCACACCTCCTCGACCTCATCCCAGACCCCACACTCAGAGCAGCACTAAAGAAGAAATGGGATTCTGCGCCCTCCCGTCCCAGCGCATCGAAATGGGCCGACATTGACGCGTTAGCCAAAGCTGGCGCCTTGTCAAAGACGCCCAAAGACCTTCTCGAAGCCAAGCAAGACATCATCCTAGAATACACATACCCCCGTCTCGATGCCGAAGTCTCCAAGAAACTCAATCATTTGCTCAAATCGCCTTTCGTCATTCATCCCGGAACTGGACGCGTCTGTGTTCCAATCGACACAAGGACAGTGGAGGACTTTGATCCGTTGAGTGTACCAACAGTCACGCAATTACTCCAGGAGATCGACGATTGGTCAGGCGAAGAAACCGACAAGAAGATACAAGATTGGGAGAAGACCAGCTTGAAGCCATACGTAGATTACTTCCGACGGTTTGTCGCGGGCCTAGTGGACGAGGACAAACCAGCGCTGAAGAGGGAAAGGGAGGAAGGCGCCGATGCCATGGAATTCTGATGACATACCGTTCACCAAGAACCTGAGGGCATGTAGGGCGCCTGGCGTTGGGGAGAGAAAGAAAAGAATATGTATGATGCATCTCGACGTTCTCAATATCTACCCACTACCATACTCACTCCAAAATTCCACACCCCACATGCTACCTTAACCAAGATTACCCAGTGAACATACATTCCCCTCCATAGTACAATACGGCATCTGAATCGGCTCCGCCCCAATCCCCTTGGCCACCAATCTCTCTCTCATCTCACTCAACCTGGGCGCCGCATCAATCTGACTCCTGTTCTGACCCATCTCGTCCTTGGCACCCGACCACAGTACTTCCGCCGCAGCCGCAGCACGGGGCCAAATCATCCTATCGACATTAACGGGGTCGGTCTGCTCGGCCCACATGTGCGCTTCGCCGCCGATGACGAGATGCTGGTTCTCGGCAGGAACGCCGTGTAACGGGTCGTACGAGTAGACTAGTCGCCAGTTGTGGAAGGGGGCGCAGTAGTCTTGGTAGGGGTAGTAATTCGCGCTGACGGACGGGTAGAAGTTCAGCCATTGGCCTTTACCGCAGTCGAGGTACTGTTTGGGGGTTGTTAGTACATCTAAATCGTCATTGGGAAGAGACAGTGGAAGAGAGGACTTACCCAGTAGTTGTAGTTCCCAACTATAGCTTTATGTCCCTTTGACACAATCTGTGCAACTGCATCGTCGCTCTGCCACGATTGCACGAGTACATCAGGGCCGAGTGTTAGGTTCCATTCCAGCAGCATCTCTTCCCACACCACAGGTGTGAGTCCCATGGCGCGTACCTGGTCATGGTTCCGATCGACAAACTTCTGCATGAGCGGTTGCAGAACCGCCGAATCATTGCTTTTGACCGTGTCATCAAACAAATACGCGTTCTTGTTCACTTCATCACCACCAGTGTGGAAGTACGTCGAGTATGGAGACACTCTAGGTAGTACATCATCGAAGAGCTTCTCTAGGAAATCGTAGACAGCGGGCGAGTTTAGTTTGAGTGTACCAGAGGGTGGAGAGGCGGCGTATGTGTTCCAGTCTGGCTGTATGCCAAACGCAGCTATTAGCTCTGGCATACTGTAGTGGATGCTTGAGGTGTGGCCTGGCATGTCGATTTCGGTGATCATTTCCACGCCTTGGATCGCAGCGTAGCGTTGTATCATTGCGAAGTCGTCGGCTGTGTAGACTAGATCGGGTCGGTATGCTCCCTTGGCGGATAGCTCGGGCATAGAGGGGATCTCCAAGGGCCAGGACTGGCTGTCTGTCACGTGAAGGTGGAAGCGGTTCATCTTGTTGTAGGCGGCAGCGTCGATCTGGCGTTTGATGTCCGCCGTGGAGAAGTAGTTACGTGACACATCGAGGTTGATGCCGCGGTGTTGGAATTTTGGACCGTCGGTGATTTGCACGGGTGCCAAGGGGGTGTATACATGCTGCTGATCGGAGTGCGCATAGAAGAGTTGAGAGAATGTTGTCAAGCCTCTTGCTATCCCTACGCTGGTGTTTGCGCTGATGCTTGCAACCCCCTCTTTTGTCAAGGTTAGACTATAGGATTCGTCAACCTCCCCAGCAAGTGGCTTGGTAACATTAGGGCCGGCGGTTTTGAGCACTTTGACGTCGATGCGAGAGATGTATGACGTATTCGACTGGCTTGGAGACGGCTCATCCCAGTCTCTAGGGTGAAACTTCCATGGGTAAAAGTTGGTTTGGAAGAGTGTTGCCCATGTAGAATTGATGGCGTAAACAACAATGTCGTCGCTGGTGATGCCTTCCTGGGTAGCTGTTTCGGATCTGTCGCTAGGCACCGGTCCTGTGTATTGCGTGCGCAATTTCAGGTTGCTGCTGTCCTGTGCGTATGGAACTTGATTAGAATTGAACCCGAAGAGAAGAGGGATCTGATCCATGATTGAGCCTACATTTCTTGCGCCAGGTTCATACCAGTAGAATGGTACATCTTCTCTAATGAAAAGAACAGCATCGCCATATTCGTGGGAGATAGGTACAGGCCAAATGGCTGCTACTAAGGATATGAGAAGAGATAGTGTAGTACATGTATGAGGCTTCATGATGCAAAGAGATCAGATCAAGATTGGGAGAATCAAAAGATCGTTGAATAGGAGAGAAGAGACGGGTGGATCGTAATCTATGTATAAGAGCGAAAACTGGCGCAAGGCATTATACCTATGTAGGCCCGATCCGGATGCTCCGAATGGTTTCTCGAAGCGTAAGCTCCTGCGGTATTCCCGGCAGTTGCAACAGTTGATGATATATCGATGCCAATAGAGTATACAGACTTGATCTGAGATAAGCAAGTGGTAACCTTGTGGTAGTATCGCGGTCCTTGACTGGAGAGTTCGACAAATGCGAGCTAACCCTGAAGTGGGGCAAACCGTGGACTTGAGCAAAAGGTACGATGACGTGCGGGCGTTCAGCTGTCAGCCTCTTCTTGAACGAAACTTTATCAGCTCCGACTTGAGCTCCAAGCAGCTGTAATGTGCCACCTGAGCCACGCCCTCCACATCGCATGATCCTCTGGGGTTGCCTCCGGGTTGATGATTACGGGAAGATGCAGCCGACTCGGCAAATTGGGCGATCAGCGGCAAGATGACAGGAGGTATACGCGTCGCATGTTTTCCCGCAAGCAACGAACTGAATCTTCGCCAGTCACGAACATACTGTCTTCTGCTTTGTATGCAGTCCATTATGACAACAGCATGGTGGTCGGAACCCCAAGTCTTCCAGAATTCGTCCGAGCGGCCACGATGCTACCACCATCCCCACATGGTCCAGCTATCTCGATCGCCCTTCCCCGCTTTTGCAGGGCATCAGGGATGCGCATGAGCGCACGACAGCTACGCGAGCCCTTAGCATTGCTCCCTTTACGTCGAAAATTGCGAGTCTTGCGGCACGGGGGGCTTTCAGATGTCAAGCCGAGGTGTCCCAAGAGCACACGACGCTCTGATTGCACCACGACGGGAGGCAGCAAGCTCGTGTGCTATGAAGAAAGTTTAGCATTGCGGCGCCAATGCTCTTCACGTCTCCAGGCAGCTGTCAAAACTCGGCTTTCTTGTCGATCCCAGAACTTTAGGGTAGGTCGATTACCCGCCGGTAGTCCACTCGGCGTTCATAGCGCATTCTCTTCCATGTGAATGCCACCATATATGCGGTGC